ATTATGGTTTTTCATTAATTGAGATAATATATACTGAGTAGAAGCTGGTAATACATTACATTTTATTAAATGAAGTATAGTTCAGCAGTATCACTTACATGAAATTTATCAGGGAACATAACGCTACTTAGCATGAAGAGGGTAGAAGGGGAAAACTGAATTTCTTGCTTGTTCTGCAGACCAGAAACACACGTAATGAAAACTGTAATCTGTCAGTTTTGAGATTTTAGTTTTAAATGACAGGCATTTAACAAGAATGTTTTCAGGGGGCATTGTAGAGCAACAGCACCTCAGAAGATAGCAGCCCTAGCCTTTTGGCAGAAAGGCATGGTGCTGCTTCAGGAGGAAAGAATCAATCACAAGTGGTGGATCACCTACCATTTTGTAGCCACTGAAATCTCATACTCCACAGAGATACACGCAGCCGACGATAGATGTATCTTTTCCTCTGTATTAGCTATGACATACATGGGTATAATACAGGTGATGGAAGCTCTAGTGACAAAGCAGAGGTGAGGGGTTCTAAATCAGCAATTTATAGGATGTAATCAAAGGAATCACACAGAAGAACTAGTGCATTTTAATCAGCAATATCCAGGAAAAAAAGCCTTATAAAAACAAATATTTCAAACACAAATAAAACAGCTTCTGATGACTTATATATTCAAATTACAAAACTTGAACATTTGATTGGTATTAAAAGAAACACATACACCCTTTATGGCAGGCTGTTACTATATACTTTCACTTCCAGTGAAACTCCCCCCACGCATGTTTATTTACTTGCTCTAAACACAAGATTTAGACTGAGGAGATAGGAGTTCTGCTGAAATAGTTTAAGTAAACAAAACCTCAGCAGCAGCACTAGCAGAGCTCTTCCCACACCTCCCATATCCAGCCACGCATTGTGCCTATGCAGAGGCACCAAACTGGAGCACCCAGCCCTCTTTAGCTGGGTGGGCTTCCCTTGCTTCCTGTTCCTGTTCTTCAACAGGCCAATGCACATACAGCAGCTTTCTTTATGTGGCAGAGGATCAGCAGACCCAGACGAGATGCAACCAGGAGAAACAAGGTGGGCCACTAAGCCCGTGCAACTGTGTTAAGTGTTTTGCCTCATTTGAGGCATTTCAGCCTTGCTGTTTCAGATCTTTGCTGCCTATTCCCAGACACTCAGCCTGCTTCTAGCTCCCAGTACAGCACATTGTTGACACTTTGAACTTAACTGAGTTTTTTTTCCTCCAGCTATGTTGCCAATAGCACTAGTGCTCAAGATAGCACTTGCTCTTACACAATACTAATGTGCAGAGTCAAGAGGGGGTTTCTGATATGGATCACAGCAACCTCACCCCAAGAGGAAGTGTAACCAATGCAATCTCCACTTCCTAAGCTTAACTAGATTGTATTCAATAATAATGTTTATAAAAGCACTTGCTTAATTGCCTCACTAACAAACCCCAGCAAGCCATGCGTAATATAAGCTTACATCAGTATGGGATATCCAGGCAGTTAAAGTAATGATACCTATACTTCTCCCACCAGGGGTCTTGCAGATTTTTATTTATTTGGTTTTTGAAACCCAGTCACATTAGCACTCCTGTCATGCAAAGTTACATCCATAAACACAGTGATCCAGGTAAAGGGAACAGAAGAGGACATTGCCAGAGAGATCAGGCTAACTTTAACATTAAAAAAAAAAAAAAAAAAAAAAAAGATAAACACTAATTTAAAAAGTCAATTAGAAATATAAATAAATGGGCGGCAACAGCAAGGTCAAATATTTAGATTCAGAGCTGTGAATACTGCAGTTACCTAGGCAACATCTGCTTCTCTAGGTAGGCTTTAATCCTTTTAAAATGACAAAAACTGAAGGTTTTCAGAAATTGTTCAGGACTAATTGAAGCAATAATATATATTTTTAAAATATTGTCTTAAGGGGCAAGCATCATTTTATACACTAATGTGCATTTAAGAATTACATTTTTTTTCCATGGATTAATGACAAAAATACTTCTGAGCATCTGAAGTTATTGCCTAAAATAGCCACCGCAATTATTTAAATACTGTGAATATCATTTGAATGATTTCTGCCTGAGATAGCTAGAGCCAGTCCATGGATGAGTTTTACTCATCTCGGTATCTTAGACTTCTCTGAAAATAAAAAAGCAAAGATTATTGCATTATGAAAATTTGCGCTAAAAAATAATCTGAAAATTAAGAGGCTCCAAGAGTGCCAGGCTGGCAAGACCTATTCAGTTTCCATGTCCATTGAGGCCTGCACTGAAATATTTCAGAGTTAACAGAACAGTCAAATCAACTACCTCTTGTAACTTGTTTAATGTAGCGCTGTAGCCAGTGAAATTATGATTGAATTTGTTTTCCTTCAACAGTAATATTTACTACCGTTAAAATCTTTCAGCTTAAAATGAAGGTATTCAAAGACAAATTTGTATCTAGGAAGACAGATTACTACATTAAAATTCACTAATTTATTCTTGCTGCAAAATGAAAACAGTTATTGGATTTGACCATGGAACAAAATGACATTTCTGAGGCATTAATCTTTACAAGATGTTAAATTACTCGTAAAACCTCGAGGAAAAACAAAAGGAATTAGTCAGAGCATCATTTTCTCAAGAAATTAGAGTGACTGAGCAAATTGAACCACATAAAATGCTAAGGACATAATTCTTCAAGAAGTTTAGTGAAATACTCAGTGAGACCCTGTAACACAGCTGTCTTGTCATGGACATGCAATACAAAAATCAGTGTCTTTCTGACACCTGAAGTTTTGCATATTTACTGGTATTGAGCAATATGCTGTGATCTTGAAGAAATAAAACGAGAATATCGTGTGTGCTTTTGGAGCAAGGAGAGAAAGGATTCGACTGCATACATTTATAGACAGAATTCCCTTATTAAGTGGAAAACAGAAGCAGCTAATTCCGTATTTATATTAAAATATATTAAAAATTGACAAAAAAACTTGGCTTATAGCTATACTGTTGATACCAATCCATTTGGATAATGCCTGTACATATCCTAAATCCTGAATAAATTTCATTGTTTGGCTGAACTTCTAAGCCTTAATTATTCACAACATTAAATTTGAGACTATAAGAGTCCTCACCCAATCACTATGAACTAGCTTTATTTTTCCATTATGAAGTGATTACACACCTGTCCTTTTTATCTACTTGTAGAAGTAGCTTTCTTGTTGTTACCCAAATGCAAATTACAGTTTTAAAACTGGCTTGCAACCATTTTCCAGTACTGCCATTCCATGGTTTGCTATTTGTTGACCAATTACTTCTCTAGATTTTTTGTTGTTATTGTTTTAAAATAGGAAGAGTTTACGAAGTCTTTCCTTACCTGATCTGTTTATTTTCGTTGAAAGACTTCTCATTAAGTGTTATTTCCCATACCAGTGTCAACTGTTTAAACAGAACTAGCCAAAACAGTAAGAATTCTATTTGGGGAAAATATGGTGACTTCAGCATGTGTTTTTATGAGGTATCAGGTGGAAAGAGAGAGTCTTGAAGGGAAATATGTGAGGAGGAAATCAGGGAGGAACAACATTCCTCAGCTCTATGATCACTTATACACAAGGAAGAATGAGCCAGGTAGTGAAGGTACCCATCTGCTCTCTTCCTCCCACCCTGCTCTCCAACAGCAGCTGCACTCAATCACCTGACAGCCGCAAGCACACCAACATCAAAGATGGACAATTAGTGTCTTTGCTAATCTTCATTTGCTCAGCTGCATCCCCCAGACTAAAGCTAAACCACAGTTGCCTTCAGTTGTCAAACCACCAGGTTCCATGGGTATTTTAAAAGAAAAACCTGAAGCTATCCATTAACATTTCAGAGAAGCAAATGATGTTTATACAGAAAAGACATCCATCTCCTGAATTACAGCTGCTCTTTAAATGCTTTGTGCCTGCATAAAAAAAGTTCTCCTGCCCTTGGGAATGAACAGGCAGCACTCAGGACTGCTGCCAAGGCAGTCAAGACAGCTTCAGTTACAGTTCAGTGTAACAATCATAAGACTTTTTTTTGTCAGAACACAGAACAGAAGTCGTGTCAGCAACTTCTTTTAAATTGACAGTCCAGCAAGAGTGTGCCTGAACAAGGTAGGATATTTAAGAATCACAACAGTACCAGTTGCATTTTAATCTCATACACAGCAATGATTGGCAGATTGTATTTTCTTATATGTGCACAAGATTTTCCGTTTACAAGTACTCACCACCCCACAAAAAGTCAAAACAAAAAGCTTTATAAATTGCAAATTAAGGCTGCTAAATGATGTTTAGTACTCTACCACCATACTATGTTAATCAGTACTCCAGAAGAAAAATCGTATTTCCTTCTTTTAAGTGGTGGTCTCCTTAAGCAATGTCTAGGGCATTTCTAGACACTCTTCTCCCTTAATCCATGGAATCAAACCTCTGTACAATAAGCTTCATAGTTGTACCAATTCCAACAGTGCCATCAGTCCACTTTACATTTACACTCATCAGTTACTCCTTACCTCTGAGATCCTACTGATCATCACTATAACCACTGAAGAGTTCTGCTGGAGGCTCATCCCACAACTTAGTACAGAGAGCTTGCAAGCAGTGCTTAAGCAAGACATTGGGTCTTCCTGGATGCAAAGCACAAGTTGAGAATCTGAAGCATCTAGTTTTACCTGTCTCACAGTATTGCCACACAGTTTTAACCAAACCAACAACACAGCTATACCCAAGCAAAGCATTAACCACACACATCCTCTTTGGCTACCAGCAGCTTCAGAGGGTGTAGGTAAAGTTGGGTCAGTTACTGTGTACTTCAGAATTTTCAGACATTTGATTCTTGCTGAAACTGGTATAATGAATAAACATAAGCTTATAGCAAATAATTTTTACTATATTTCATGAAAAAGTTAAGACAGAACTAGACAAAAAAATTAAGTCTTTTGCACACACATAGATAGGAACCACCTGCAAGAAAAACCTGTCAGATCCAGCTATGTCCTCCACAGAAGAGATCTCAGAAAGCATGCTCCATCTCTTGGCTGCATTTCTGTCTTTTTGTACCACTTAAGAGCTCAGACACTTTATGCTGCTAAAAGTACCGTCCACAGTCGTCATGGTGGAAACAGTTAATGAAGTTCAGAGATCAAATAGAAACAGCTGATTTTGTTTTAGCAGGGCTCATATGACAGAAACCAGACCTGCAGACAGAAGGTGCTATATATTGTGTAAACGGCCTACAGAAAGAATCGTCCTTCCCCCTCTGCTGCACCCCAAGATTTTTGATTCCAGCTCTTAGCTGCTAATACTTTTGCAATTAAATTTCTATGACATTTTTATGAGAGAAGTGGCAGAGGAATTATACCTTTCATGCAAATCATGTGTTTCAACTAACAACTTGATATTTCAGAATGTCACATTTCATGGAAAATTGTTGCTATTTCCCTCTCAGGCTGCTTTCAGCAAGAGTCAAAAGAATTACAAAATTAACAGGTTTGACAGAAATCCCAACAGAAAACCACACTCCAAGTCACCTATGGATCCTCCAATTCCCCAAGTCATTTACACTTCATACAACTGTTCAAAGCACTTTTCTCCCCAGAGCAAAGCATTCATTTCAAGTGCACTCCCGCATTTTCTTGTTCTAAGCCTGTCATTATACTAGCAACCACATGAAGTAATTTGTCTGCTTAAACTTACCAGAGGCATCTTCAACAAACCTCAAGGTCACCTTTGAGGTAGGCAGGCCCAGCACTCAGCTATGTTTGGTCAATCTGTGTAACATGGGGCAGCCTTGCCAGCCACTGCCCTCTCCTCACAGACCTGGGATGTCCCGACACCATGTTCTGAAATCCACGTTCTGTAAGATGTAGGTGCAAGGAGATATCGATCTGGAAAGGTCTTCTCAGCTTTGGCACAACACATCTACTCTGTCTATTCAAAGGTGCCTGGTATCTTTAAATAAAGAAGAAATTTCTTCCTCAGTTCAGGCCATCTATGTTGCATTAACACTTAAAAGCAAGCACACTTAGACTCCTTTTCTTGCTTGTATCAATTTTCTGGAGATTGAGCTCTTCCCCCCCCCTCCCCCCTCCCCCCGCCCCGCCCCCCCCAAATCAGCTTCCCTTTACATATTAACTCTGAAAGCCAGTCAAATTCACCATGTACATCAATTCTAGTGGCTTCATGAGGACACAAGTTCGATAACAGCAGCCAAGGAAGGTCAAAGCACTGCGTGCAACTTCTATGGTAAAAATGAACATACATTGCTTGTTGTCTGAACCACAAGGCTCACCCCTTCTTTCCAAGGGCAGCCCTTAGGGTACTGCTACTGTCCTCCTTCCCACCCACTCCCAATTCCCAAAACACCTATTGCTTTGATTGGCAACAAATCTTCCAAAGAGGCTAAATTAAGTTCCCCAAGCCACAGTACTGAAGGGACACCAAACCATATTCACTCCATCAGTACTGAGGCTCAAGGGAAGGCCACACTCCCACCTCAGGCAATTTTTGCCAAGATGGAAGGTAATTCTCCACAGGTAACCCATACTTCAGAGCACACTAGCTGCCAGCCAGACAATTTTGTGCCATAACCTCATTAACCAAAAGATGCATCTACCTGTACAAAACGTAGCTTGTCCAGCACTGCATTTGGTACTGACTGGCAAGAACAACTCTTAAGACCAATCCTGCAGGTGTCACAGGAAGGCAAAAGCCATCCCACATTCAAGAACAAAGGTCTTCCTTGTTATTAAAAAGCTCATCTTTTTCAGTGTTTTCTTATGCCTGTTCAGCCAGGTCTGTGGCAAAAATCTGGTGATTCTCACCATTTTGACGTTTATAGCACTCTGTCAAAAACTACATCATCTTTGCTCCTCAGCACATTTGTCACAAAACTAAGCTGCACAACACTGATAAGTTGGTAGGTCCTTCATCAAACACCTTTCAAAGGCTTCAGAAACCTTCAAATTTGTCATCTTAGTTTTGGACCCTATACCTGAGAATATGATTACTATCTCCTCCCCGCTCTTCAGTACTAGTCACAAACACAAAAAATAAAAAGGTAGCCCAATTCAGAATTCAAAACCTATTTCCACTACTTCTTTCTGGATCAGCTTTACTTTCCAATTTTCTGTAATTCTCACAGTGGTCAGGAAATAGCAAAACTAACTTTTAGCTTTAAGAAATTCCTAAATTCCTACACTACGTTACCCCTATTCCTTTTGGGGCATTGGGATTTCTTTCACTTTCAGGCAGTAGGTACACAACCCAGAATGGAAATTTACATTTAATTTGCTGTTGATGAAGCAGGCTGGGAAATAATGTTAGTTCCTGATCTTTACAGATGCATTTATCTCCAGCACAACAACAGGATGTTTGGCTTACAAGGGTTTAACAAATACTGAATCTTCCAGATGGAGAGTACTTTGTAAGAACACAATGAACATCAGGGAAGATTTCATTTATAGATTTCTACTTACACTCTCAACACCGCATCTGCCTGCATATTAATAGCTTGTTCTTAAGTTAACTGTATATTTCAGTATTTCTGAAATTAGATGTGCCAGTTTATAGCCATTACTTTATTTTTCCCTTCTGGCATAAAGAGAATACAGCCTGGCCTTGTAAAGAATTGAGCTAACATTTCTGCATATTTTATTCAATCTCCTTTCAAGATTATTGGCTTGTAAAGTTCTCCCCAGCTATTAAAAAATCAAAGAAACATTGCAGTTTTAGCTTCTGCATTTGAGCCCTTAGGAAGATGGACTCAACAAGCTAAAGAAAAGGTTCTCTGTTATTTCTTGACACTTTTACCCTGGCAGCAGATATCTAAGCAAATATCTGAGCAGTACACCAAAAGAAATACAAACAGCGAAGCACTTGGTCTCTTTTATAGGGTTAACAATACACAGTGATTACCTCAGTTATAGAACTAGTTGTTTAAGTTGAAGAATTAAGCAGTGACAAATACATAGGAAAAAGAACCTAGTACCTTCTGACTCTCAGATCTCAAAATGATAAAGATTTGGTAATACATAGCCCACATTCTCAAAGCTCTGGTCGCCAGAGTTAAATTCAGGTCTAAGTTTCCATGGCTGTCTTCTCCATTGTGGTCTAGAGAAAAGTGAGACAGAAGTTTGAAACATACTGGTTGGTAGTCACTTGAAGCCTGAATAACTTGATTTTTGCCTTTCTAGACAAGAATTAGAAGTTTTGAATAATGCAGAATTAATTCTTTAAATTCTCTGGTGAAAAAAAAAAAAAAAAAAATTGCAGTTGTCTATACTAAACCCAATGAGTGGGCAAAACAACTGAGCGGTTTGTTTGAGAGCAAGGTTGCAGAAACATTATATTTTTTCACATTAAATACAACATGCCTGAATTTTATTTGGAATGACCACATAATAGGTTTTCAGTTACAATTAAGTGAGAGGGGGAAGAAAAAAAAAAAAAAGAAGTCTGCTTAACATTCAGTTAAATTCATATCCTTTTGCAGAGGAACAGTATTATAACGTTAATCTACACTTTTAAAATTCTACTTGCTGAAGCATTGACAAATTGCTCTCGTGAAAGCACAGAGATCAGCACACAAATTTAACGGAATTCTTGATCAAGTAATCACTTTCACAGCACTGAATATGCAGCCCAACAGGCTAGGAAAGGCATTAGGTCTTTACATCTGTTGTAGAAATAACTGTTCTTTAGAACTGCTCACTTCAGTTCTTATGTAAGCAGAATACTCTTCAAAGGGAAATAAAAGTTTATCAAATGCAGGCTAAATAAAGATCAGAGAACCTGAAAAATCTTTGATATTTTTATCTCTCTCTGCACCACAGAAGATAAAGCCTACATCACAAGTCACTTTAGTAACCTCCCAGACAAACAGCAGAAACATTTTCTAGATGAGGATCCTGGTCATGAGGAAAAATGTTAACCTCTTGAGAAAAAGAAGATCAAATAAGAGATGTGAATAAGAAAACGTTCATCACAGCAGCAATAATATATGTGATGACAAGCACCCAATTCTTACCTCCCATGGGACTGGAGATCATAGTGATTTATTCAACACCTTCAGCAAACAGAGCCCCAAACTTGTCCTCAGCAGTGCAGCTACTCCTTAAAGTCTTTTCCTTCCACTCCCTATCACGCAGAGAAGACGCTACTAACATGCTTCCACACCAAACACCCCTTCTCTCCACCCCCTGAAGACTTATCTAGTTTCTCCTACCTACATGTAGTTTATGGCTTCAGCTGTCATCACTCTCTCAGATCAGACATCACCACCAACACCTGAACAAATTCTGGACATCAAATTACACCTTCACGAACACCTTTAATCAAATTATTTATTATGTACTAATTCTGTGGCAGTACCTATGGATTATCAGAGCCTATCTCGTTCTCTGCATTCTGGAATGCTTTATTTGCCTCCAGAAATTTTTGGGGAAAATCAGGGGATTATAGGGTGAAAGAGCCCTATCTTACTCTCAAACCTGCATTTTAAGGCAAACATGCTGTTTATTGGGGGGGGGGGGGGGGGTCTTACTCCTGTTTTGATCCAGCATTTTATTGAATACGTTATTTGAAAGGTTTTTTTCCATTGAGAAAATTATATCTACCAAGAGACTTCCACTTCCATCCCCTCCATTTTTCTTTGCCAAACAAATTCTTAAACAGCAACACATTTGGGTTAAATATTTACTTTTCAACAAATTGGTGACTTCAAGTAGAAAATTTCTGTTGATATCGATTGCCAATATTGCAGCAGAGGTTATGAGACAGGAACACAGTGTGCTTGATGTTGCAGGTTCTTCTGTCATACCATGCTCTACTTCCATCCTGTATGGAACAAGGTGTGCTTGCTCATTTGTATACTCTATAAATACAACTTTATAAGCAAATTATGTTATTTTTCCACTGCTACCTGCATTTTTTACCACAACCAAATTCCAAGTCAGTGGAACAGCTTCCGTTTCTTTAGGCTGG